TTCATTGTGTTGGAAAAAGATGTTCTGTGGAACTGTTATTAAGAGCATGCTGAGTCTAATTATTTGAGTGCTTTCTACCAAAGAATGATCCGGCTGCCGAATACAATATGTTTTATGTAACATGAGGGTGTAATTAGAAAAACGCCGAGAGATACTCTTACATAAAACTGAATTATGGTTTTGCTTTAGATGAATGTTGAGGCAGTTCAACTTACACCTTTAAAACTGACATTCAGTTGAAGCCAGAATTATTAACCCCACCTTTAAATTTTTTCTTCTTTTTTAAATATTTCCCAAATGATGTTTAACAGAGCAAGGGATTTTTCACAGTATGTCTGATAATGTTTTTTCTTCTGGAAAAAAGTCTTATTTGTTTTATTTCAGCTAGAATAAAACCAGTTTTAATTAAAGAAAAATAATTTTAAGGTCAAAATTATTAGCCCCTTTAAGCTATACCATCGTTATACAATAACTTGCCTAATTACCCTATCCTGGCTAGTTAACCCCATTTAACCTAGTTAAGCCTTTAAATGTCACTTTAAACTGTATAGAAGTGTCTTGAAAAATATCCAGTCAAATATTATTTACTGTCATCATGGCAAAGATAAAATCAATCAGTTATTAGAAATGAGTTATTAAAACTATTATGTTTAGAAATGCGTTGAAAAAATCCCTCTGTTAAACAGAAATTGGGGAAAAAAAGAAACAGCGGGGCTAATAATTCTGACTTCAACGGTACATGACATTAAAGTATATTAAAATCTTTCTTTCTCAGTTCACCTACAGGAAACCTTCTAAATATAAAAACCCTTAAAAATCCTAAAATGTAAGTAAAATGTCCTGTCCTGTAATATCCTGTAAGTAAAATCACAAAAAGTCTAGACATGATTGAACATGCATGGTGACGTATGTGCAAATCCAAAAATCATCTGGCAGTCGGAAGCATTTGGCAGTGTATTAAAAACTGATTTCAATGTAATTCCTTGTAAACACCGCCCTGGCTTTTGGGCATAGATACAAGCACGCACACACACACTTGTGTATCTTTATGTGGACCTCCCATAGATATAATGATTTTATACTTTACAAACTATATGTGTTTTTACATTTTAAAATTACTTCATTCTGAATAAGCCATGCGGTGGCACAGTAGGTAGTGCTGTCGCCTCACAACAAGAAGGTTGCCGGTTTGAGCCTCGGCTGGGTCAGTTATCATTTCTGTGTGGAGTTTGCATGTTCTCCCCACGTTTGCATGGGTTTCCTCCGGGTGCTCCGGTTTCCCCCACAGTCCAAAGACATGCAGTATAGGTGAATTGGGTAGGTTAAATTGTCCGTAGTGTGTATGGATGTTTTCCAGAGATGGGTTGCAGCTGGAAGGGCATCCGCTGCGTAAAACATGTGCTGGATAAGTTGGCAGTTCATTCTGCTGTGGCGACCCCGGATTAATAAAGGGACTAAGCCGAAAAGAAAATTAATGAACGAAAAATTCTGAAAGGTTTATAAGTTGTATTCTTAAAAATGTCCTCACAAGGTCAAATATTACTGTTTTTGCTATACTTGTGCAGACATTTGGTTCCCACAATATAAGGAATACAAGGTACAGACACAAACACACACAGAATTGTACAATTATTTTTACAATGATTTTGATGACTGTATATGCTATACCCCTACCCCAAAACCCAACCCTCAGATAAAACACTCAGCATTTTATATTATCAAAATACTTCATTCTGTGTGATTTATGAATTTTTTTGTTTCTCATGAGGACCAAAAAATGTCCCCATGAGGTCAGACATAACATGCAACATCCAGTAGCTACACTGAATGCTGTCAGAGTGTGATATTTAACTAGACTCTTTAAGTTGGTTTAACCCAAACTGGGGTCAAATATGGACTGAATAAACATTTTGGGTTGGTCCATATTTTATACAAATTTGGGTTAAACCAACAAAAACATTTTCAGTGTGGATTTGAAATTAAAAGAAGCGACTAAAAAAATTATTCAAAGATGATTCCTTGGATTTACTAAAAATTTTTTATGTGGTTGTAAACTATTTATTTGGGCTCAATTTAAACAAACACATTAAATTGAACATTATTAAACTAAATTTATTTGTTTAAATTCAACACAAATAAATAGTTTGCAACAGTTCTGCATGCAACACTTTTTCCAGTATTTAACATATGTTTTCACATATCTCATTATCATTAGAGTCAACCAGATTCTAATCCCATTATTAATCACCAGTCAGGTTTAGATGGTAAATTCACAATATGGTTGGTTTTTCTTTTTTTCTAATCAGAGCCAATGCTTAACGTAATCTAACAAGCAGAACTGACAGGTTTATGGTTCATTTAGCCACGTAACTAACCTAAAGGTCAAGGTCATGACATCAAATGTCACAGCACCTTTAATAAGCATTGGTTTACTACAAAACCATAGAAACGGGGTTGACTATGTAAGAAGAGCAAACCCTGCTGACAATCAGTGCCCTTGAAAAGTTCAGCTCCTGAAATAGGCATAGGACGAAAACCGTTTTCAAGGTATACAGCGGTTTGGAAAAGTCAAGGTTTTAAAACCGCCAAAATTTTCTGTAATACCGTTCCTCAGGTATGTTTAATATTTTTTTATATACTGTTTTGTTTTTTAGGACAACAGTATCTCAAGCAGAAAATATGCAAAGATGCCTTTTTAAATTGCAAAGAAATCAGTGTTTTTAAAACTAATGAAGACAGCAGTAGTCAATGATTCATTTTAATTATCTAGCCTGACATGTTTAGTGCTCTAAAATTACTTAAATCCTTCTAAAAATAAAATATATTGTTTTCAAAGGGAAAACTAATTGTTGTTTTTTACCCAGACATTTAAAAATAATATATTTTAAAGCAGTAATCACTATTATTTTTATCTAAGGTTATCATACTGTCAGAATCTTATACCGGCCCATGCCTATTCTGAAACGAGGATGATGTTGGTGATGATGTCTTTATACCAGATGTTTTTCTTCAATGGATTTGGACACGCTGCTACAAGAGTTATGATGCAACAGATCTAATGAATATAACTTTTTTAATAAAACCTAAAATGCAAGTAATGCTGTATATAGGTCCAAAACTAGAAGTCCCATTCTAGTGTCTGCATGGCATTAAATTTACAGAAAAGCAAATAAAAAGTGTCTGGATTCATGTTTCAATTGACTGTTGTGCCAATATCAAAATATACAGTAGGGATGATGTTCCATCATTCTGTGTAGCAGACTTATTTAATAATTAGCTATATTTACAAGTCTAGTTCTGCATACTATATTTCATTCATTTTCTTGTCGGCTTAGTCCCTTTATTAATCTGGGGTCACCACAGCGAAATGAACTGCCAACTTATCCAGCAAGTTTTTACGCAGTGGATGCCCTTCCAGCCACAACCCATCTCTGGGAAACATCCACACACACATTCACACACACACTCATAAACTAAGGACAATTTAGCCTACCCAATTCACCTGTACCGCATGTCTTTGGACTGTGGGGGAAACCGGAGCACCTGGAGGAAACCCACGCGAAGAACATGCAAACTCCACACAGAAACGCTGAGCCGAGCGACCTTCTTGCTGTGAGGCGACTGCACTACCTACTGCGCCACTGCCTCGCCCTCATACTATATTTATTAAACTTTATATAATTAATTAAATATTCAGAGAAGTGGTTAAATGGCAATGTATAGACCAGTTTAAGGGGAAACAATGGTCCCAACGTATTTCCTCTTTTACATATTTAATTTCTATAGCTTCTGAGAATCCAAAAAGAGCCACACAATGATAAATAATGTTATGTTTGCTGTTTTAACATTAAGTTAAGATTGAATTGCCTCTTGTTATAGTTATGAACCAGTTTGATAACAAGCAGGAAATGTTCAAGGGGCCAATGACCTGACCACATTGACATGGTCTATAACCATTTAAAAAAAATGTAAATAAATTACTTGCGGGCTGCATAGAGGTCTTTCAACAGAGTAGTGTAAACATGCCTGACAAAAGCATTTGGCATTTAAACTACTTCTCTAAATCATCTTCAAATAATACTCATTATTATTGCAAATTTCACTGTTTATAAATATATTGTTAAAAAAAACTGTATTACACATTTATTGTTTTCAACATTGGCTGCACTGTGGGCAGTGGGTAGCACGTTCGCCTCACAGCAAGAAGGTCGCTGGTTTGACCCTTGGATGGGTCAGTTGGCGTTTCAGTGTGGAGTTTGAATGTTTTCCCCATGTTGGCATGGATTTCCTCCGGGGGCTCCGGTTTCCCCCACAAGTCCAAAGATCTGTGGTAGGTGAATTGGGTAGGCTAAATTGTCCATAGTGTATGTGTGTGAATGAGAGTGTATTAATGTTTCCCAGTGATGGGTTGCAGCTGGAAGGGAGTCTGCTGCGTAAAACATATGCTGGATAAGTTGATGGTTCATTCCGCTGTGGCGACCCCAGATTAATAAGGGGAATTAGCGAAATAAAATAAAAAATAAATAAAATAAAAAAAAACGAATGAATGAATGTTCTGAACATTTAAAACCCAATTGTTTGTCTGTAACCCTTACAAATACAAAATATAAGCTTGTACTTAATTTTTGGTCTGAATATTTGAATATTTTAAAACACAGGACTGGAAACAGATGAAATTATACTGAAGCAGGACAACAACAACAAAATATTACATTTATTGGTAACTAATTTTGGTTCAGAGGGCTAACACATGTTAAAGCTAATCAATCTTGACTTTTTCACTGTTAAATTCTTAAATATTTAAGTGACAGATTAGTAAAAATCACTTCATATATATAATTTTAACAGAATTACAAAATACAAAATATATTCATTTTAAAATATGTTGACAAATATCTTACACAACTGACAGCCACATGATTTTCTGAGATGTAAGCTCCTCAGTTATATTTCTAACCCTTTATTTTAAATGTGTAAATGATTATAGATGTATCAAATACCTTTATTGTGTCCTCTTGTCTCCCTTAGCGTGATAATTGTTGTTATATTCAGTATTTCCTGCCGTTAAACTCTCACAGCTTCCGTTCACTCATCAGTCCGTCCAGTTCGAGCGCGCATCTGACCTGCACAGCGGAAAGTTACTGTTGAATGCTGTCATAGTCCTTCTGCTCATCCCCCTGTAGTATCAACGTCATTCATTTACATGTGGAGAGCTGCGTGTACATGCAACATCAATCCCCTACGATTGGTTATAAGAAGCAGGCATTTACGTCGTCATCTCAGCCTGTTTGATCATGTAATTGTCGGGATTTCTGATTCCCAGATGATGAGTTACGCAAGTGTTTGGGTGAGTTTAGAGACACTACTGAGCCAGATTGTTTCAGAGAAAACGCTTACTGCTTCCGCAGAAAGATGTTTATACTTCGTGTCACAGTTTAGTTATTATAGTAAAACTATAAAATGATGTGGTTTGGCAAAAAGACAGATTAAAAAAACCCTCATCCTTCAGGTTGTTGGTTGTAGATCGCTAATGCCCTCTGCTGCTGACAGAAAACATTGCACGCCTTTTATGCTAGGCTACAAGGCTCCCACATGAGACAATACTATAGTAATTTGAAGAAAATACTGGTGTTTTTGATGTAAAGTGTTTTTTATTAATCTGCTGTGATAATTCTATCGTCATCGTGGTGGTAATACAACAACTTTAGCAATGTTAACACACCCAATACTGTAGTTTTATACGTTATATGCAGTTTACTGTAGTAAAAAACTAAAGGATGCTTCAGTATTTATCTGTTAAATACTAGTGTTTTGAATTAAAGGGTTTGAATTAATCTGCTGTGAAAATTCTATCATTGTGGTGGTGGTAATACTACAACTACAGCAATATTAACATCACACAATACTGTAGTTTTATACGTTATTCACAGTTTACTGTAGTAAAAACTAAAGAATGCTTCAGTATTCATTACAGTTTATCTGTTCAACACTAGTGTTTTTGAAATAAAGGGTTTGAATCAATCTGCTGCTATAATTCTATCGTCGTTGTGGTGGTAATCCAACAACTATAGCAGTATTAACATCACCCATTACTGTAGTTTTATACACAGTTTACTGTTGTAAAAACTAAAGGATGCTTCAGTAGTGAAGAGCGGGGCACAAAGTAACACTTTTTGGTTTTGGTCAAATAATAAACAAAGTATTGGGGTTAGACAAACCATTTGTTTTTTGTTTTTGTTTTTTACCAACAAAACACAAGCCTCTCTTACAAATGAGCACTGAAAGTTTCTTGTGAACTCTATAGTCTTTGTCTCAATATACAACTAAACAAATCACCCAAAACTGTACTGTTTTCTATAACTAGGTGTATCTCAATAAATTAGAATGTCATTGAAAAGTTGATTAATTTCATTAATTAAGTAATCCAACATTTCCGTATTGAAACCTTTCCTTTTTTATTGGCCGTAAGCAAAATTTAAAGAGATAAGCGCTTGAAATATATCAAACTGTGTGTAATAAATCCATATAAATGATAAATGATTTTCACTTTTTTATTGAGTTTGTAAAATTAATCAACTTTTTGATGACATTCTAATGTATGCACCTACAGTGTAGCCTACTATAGTAAAACAATAAGCATACTACACTACCTGACAAAAGTCTTGTCGTTGATCCCAGTTGTAACAGCACATAATAACTTGACTTCTAGTTAATCATTTGGAAAAGTGCCAGAAGGTAGATTTTTCTGATGCATCATTTGTTGAACTGCATCTCAATCATCACAAATACTGGAGAAGACCTACAGGAACCCAGATGGACCCAAGATTCTCCTAGAAATTGGTCAAGTTTGGTGAAGGAAAAATCATGGTTTGGGGTTACATTCAGTATTGGGGTGTGTGAGAGATCTGCAGAGTGGATGAACATCAACAGCCTGAGGTATCAAGACATTTGTGCTGCCAATTACATTACAAACCACAGGAGAGGCCAATTCTTAATCAGGATAGCACTCCTTCTCATTCTTCAGCCACATCAAAGTTCCTGAAAGCAAAGAAGGTCAAGATGCTCCAGGATTGGCCGGCCCAGTCACCAGACATGAACACTGTTAAGCATGTCTGGGGTAACATGAAGAAAGGCATTGAAGATGAATCCAAAGAGTCTTGATGAACTCCTTTGCTATTCCAAATAACTTTATTAATAAGTGATTTGAGTTATTGCAGAGATGTATATATGCAGTCCTCCAAGCTCATGGGAGTCATACACAATATTATTTTTTTTTTACACTGCACTTTATATTCTATACTGTACATTATATCTGTTAAGTGACAAGACTTTTTTCAAAAAAGTCAGCAAAGTCAGACCTTACTGTCCTAATTTAATAATCAAGACATGGTCATATTTTATTTTGGTAAAATAAACAATCTATAGGCCTTTGCCTTTCATATAAGCCACTTCTGATACCAAACGATCAACTAGAAGTTTAGTTATTATGTGTTGTTCTTAAAACTTGGATAGGAGGCAAGACTTTTGTCAGGTAGTGTACAGTATTGATTACAGCATATCAGTTCACTATAGTTATACTACAGAGCTGTATCATTCATTAACATAGTGTTGTAAATAAAATACAGTAAATACAATGCAGTATAATACACTAATACTATACACTAATACTATATTTGTTCAAAAGCACATCATATTTACTATAAATTACTATAGTATTTTGTTCAGAGAAAAGTTGGGACGTTTCGATAAATGCTGTGATATCAAGAACTGTTTAATTGACTTTCACATTCGTAGAAAGAAAATATTTCCAGAGTTTTACTGATCAAATAAATTGTGTTCTGTAAAAATAACAAAATTAGTATCTATGCAAAAATAAACTGCAGTAAACTGAAGTAAAACGTCATTAGAACAGCAGTATTTAGACGGATTTACTACAGTAAAATCAATTGCAACTGTAAAATAATTAAGTGACTTTAGTTCACCTGCTTATTGTAGAAGTGTTTTAAAAAATATGGATATTCTATAATATTCTCAACAATTAAAGGCATGCAGCCAACCTAACAATTTCTGCTCTATAAAGCTTACATTGAAAGACATATATTCAATATAATATTGTCAATATACTGTACTATGAAAAATGCAGATTTGAGCATATAATTTAGCCTAATTTTGCTTTTGTCTTATTTATAAAAATGTAAGTCATCATAAGGCTTCATTGTTAGTTTGTTGAGTTCCTGTGGGCCCTACACATTAGTTAGGAACCATGTTTGAACTATACTTTTAATGTGTATGCTGTGATATAACTAAGAAGACTCACAAAGTCCTCTGCTGTATGTATTTTCCAGATATATGTGCAAATAGGTAGTACAGACCAGCTTTGACCATTCCAATATGGCGGACGACGTTATAAAAGCCCTATTAAAGCTGCAGTTGAGTCAGGTATGTATCCACAGTAAGTTTTTATTTATTATTTTATTTTTCTTGGACGTTTTAGGTTTTCATTTTTATGGTATGGATTATATGAGTTAATATTTCTGATTTAACTTAAATATGATATAAAATATTTAAAAATTAAATGTGTTTACATGACACAACTTTATTTTGCTACATTTATTTATAAGAACACCATATTTTCAACAGGTTTTTATTCGAATTTCTCATGCTAAGATTAAAGCTAACTGATGTGTAGTGGTATTGAATGTAGTATTCTGACTAGACCTCATCTATAAAGTAAACTCAGTTAAAAAAATATAGATTTGTTTTGCTGTCCCCAAACAGAACTGTAAATTTCTTGGAAATAATATAAAGTATAATAATATCAGGACAGTTATATTTTAAATATCAATTAAAATATGCTTACTATACAACAAATTAACATAACACAGACCAAATGCTACTGTAAGTCTGAGCAACCACAAGAATGCGCACAGATTTCATTTAAGGGTATTGCCTCTCCTGGAGAACATCAGTATATCACTAAAGTGCTGGGCTCCCCTGGTAGGGAAGTGTAGTTTTGTAGTGGTCAAGGCAACCAAATAATTAACAGCTCATGGAAATAAAAAGTGGACTATTGATTGACTTCTTCTATTTTTTTGGAGGAGTCTTATGCACTTTTGAATATGACATTTTCTTTATATATTGTAATTAATCAATGCACAATATTGCTGCCTTGAAATGTGTATTTAACAAGATAAAGCAGCCAGAAATAGCAGTTTCTGTGTTGGCCAGTTCTTTTTAAATGAGAAAAACAATTATTATTTGATTCCCTGTTGTTAGATTCTGAGCAGAATTGATTACTATGACCAATAATAATTTCATATCATTAACAGTTCAACTATAACATCCATTTTGTGAATATTTAGGTACACTTCATCACAATATTAAGACTGATGTCAGCATTGGTAATTCAAAGCTAAAATTCACACCTCCCACGCATAAGATTTGGGTTCTATTCCCAGCCAATGCAATAGCACGGGGCGGCTTGGTGGTGCAGTGAGTAGCATGATAACTTCATTGCAAGGAGGTCGCTAATTCAAGCCACGGCTAGGGCAGTTGGCCTTTTTGTCTGGAGTTTGCATGTTCTCCCCATGTTGACGTGGGTTTCCTCTGGGTGCTCCGGTTTCCCCCACAAGTCCAAAGTCGTGGTATAGGTGAATTGGGTAAGCTAAAATTTCTGTAGTGTGTGTGTGTGTGTGTGTGTGTGTGTGAGAGAATGAGTGAGTGTGTATGGGTGTTTTCCATTGATGGGTTGCAGCTGGAAGGGCATCCGCTGGGTAAAACATAAGCTGGATAAGGTGGCGGTTCGTTCTGCTGATAACCCCTGATTAATAAAGGGACTAAGCTGAAAATAAAGAAAGAAATTAAGACTGACAGTACAAACTTTTTTTATAATAATCTCAATAAATGTCAAATCTACTTCTTTCAAATTTAAAGATGTATCTTTGCTCCTAAATATGTATCTCCAGACTACACTTGCCAAACCTAGACATTTCACAAGTTGATATATTTAGCATTGCCTCTTAATCATGTGACAATAGCTTAAGTTGGGATAATAAATTTACGTTCATTAACTCATTTTTTGGAGCGTATTTTTATAGTGTACTCTTAGCATTATAATTAATAATTAGAAAACACAGGTAAAACCAAATTAGTTCA